ACACTCCGGGGTGTTGAGCACGACCGCGCCTAACGAACACTGGCAAAAATTTTCCATCAGAAGCTTGCACTCGAAAATGTGTGGCTCAGCATGCACAACAAACCAAATCAGCCCTGCAGCATGAGTGCATCAACACACAACCGCCCTTTTTCTCCCTCTTGAGAAGCCGTCATTTTCACATTCTCAACGCCAACTGACTGATTAATGAGGTATGTGTCGGAGTTTGTGCTTGCAATCGTGAATTCTGACACCTACCTAATTGCTATGACACCTACCTAATTGCTACCCACATGCTCCAAAATCGCTAAAGAGCAAGTATCGATTTTTCGGGTTATCTAAATTATACGTGCCGCCCAACTCAAGGTCAGGATGAGAGGGGAAGAAAAAATTCTTCGGTGGCGCGTACCGGTGACGTCTCAGCTGCGGCAAGACCGATGAAAGGACCACCCAGCCCGCTGACACATCGCTCGAACATTAGCGAGGTTGCTGGCACTTTACTAACCTATACAATCAATGGTGCGGGGAGTGAAATGATTGTACTACGTATAGATGTCATTCTCGCGCTAGAGAATTGGAATTCTTTAAAGCAACACTCCCAGCAGAAGTCGTGTCGAAAATCTATTCAGTGGGTGGGATAGAGTAGCCCACGAGTAGCACAGATGTGCCGTTGTCGCGGCTCGAAAGTGCGCGACAATGGCGCTAGGGTCTTACAAAGTCAGCATTTGGCGACTAATCTTAGCATTTGGACGAGTTACGTGCGCACACCCCATGATACCCAATGTAGATTACTGCGTAGCGGCTAATGCAAATTGGGTGTGGTTCGCTAGTTCGGAAAGGTTAAACTTTTCCGCTTTTCCATACGCGAAAGTTTTGTCGCTGTGGGAACTCCAGATCCACTGCTGATCAGTGGTTTACCTGAGGTTCTCGCAGCGAAAATGTCTACTGCTGCGAAAAGCGGGAAAATAGCTTTCTGTTCAGGCTCCCTACGCCCATTCAAATACGCGCAGGTTGATTTATCAGTGGAGCGGGCAAGCTCGTACAACTCGCCTAGCCCTGCCCCTTTTTTTTTCAAAAATTTTGGTTTCAGGCTTCATCGAGGTTTTCCTTTGCTTCTTTTTTTTATTTTTGTCATTTCAGCATTTACAACTTCATTATCAAACGGCAAAGAGCCCATATTGCGTATTGCTTCAAATGTATAATGTTCCATTGTTAAACATGATCCGTTTTGAGATGAAAGAAGTCAAAGTTAACCCTTAGAAGTGTTACAATCAAACTGAAATTGAAACTCTTTGGACCCGTTCTCCAATTTCGATACTTACTTACACCATTCCTACTAAACGGTAAAGTTAGAGTACGATGAATGGATAGCAGGACCTAATGTGTTGAAATATAGAGAGAGACCGCTCTGACCTTGCTCCTCCTCGCAACCGCTCTACGTCAAAATGACGTCGAGCAACCACGCCGAACGCGTGTCCCGCGCCGCCGCGCCTGAGCATTTTTATGGAGCCGTAATGGATGCTGAAAGATTAAATATTGCATACGAGTTTCCATCTAATGATGACTTGATAGTGCATTGACCGAGGAAGGGAAGAACAGATAAAGCATAAAAAGCTGAGTGTAGGAGTAGAAAATCGAACGATTGATTTACTATTGAAGAAGCCAAACGGCAAGATCCTCCTCACCTTGCTAAACTACTTTCAGGTGACTCATGTGAGGACCGTTTATGGGGCTGACGTTCGAGCACTGCCTCGGCGTCCGGTTCTTGGTTATTACACCGCTTTCTGGTTGTTTGCGACCTAAACTATCAAACTGCACCGATATATGTGATTAGTGCCCTCCACCTCTGAGAATATGTATAAAGCAGGCATTGAACGAGAACGACTACACTCCTTCACTTGCAAAACGAATCTATCACGGATACTGCCCTGAAACGTGCTTCATTTTGCGACTGAGCAAAAATCACCTCAATAGAGTATTTCTTTGTCTTTTCCTCTTTTTCAAAGCGGAGTTAGGTGAAGCTCTAAATAAATTCCTTTGCTTGTACTATCAGCAACTGTCTTGTAAACTTTACAACATATGTAATTGGAAGAATTGAAGTGCAAGTGAGTGTTGAATTCAGTAAAGAAAACGGAAGCATCAAATTTCAAAAAATAACTGAACGAAACAGAAATAGCAAGGAAAAGCTTAGACGCACACTTCCCCTCCGGTCTTCGCGGGAGCGGTGTTTGGCAAAACAGTCGTCGAATTGTCTACGTGAGATGGAGTGGTGTTCATTTCGTCATCGCTACGGGATGGTTGAAGCCTAAGAAGAAAAAAAAACTGGTAAGCTCAAAATAATTAGGAAATGGGGCCTTCACCCATAGTTACTGCCCCTTTTTTGAAATGATTTCGCAATCTAAACTGGTTTCATCTTCATAGATGGATTGACTACCCTTCCTGAGCCCTAGCCTGAGCATAAATATCACTCGTATGCCGCCTCTTTTCGCAAAAAATAGAGTAACCATGGGCAAGACGAAGCGAACATAGAAATCAAAAAGAGTACCGATTCGATTGAGCAGTGAAACTTCTAGCATCCGTATCAGCAGCATCCACATGCCTCGTTAAGGGTAATTTAAGAGCTTCTCGTAGATTGAGAGCGCCGTCAGATTCTGTACGAAATCTCTTCGATCGCCGTCTGGAAAAAGGCCGTGAGATTGAAACAAATGTATTGAACTTTTTGGTGCTTATTTCCACTGCAGCACTTGACCTACTACTGAATACTAATAGCATACACGAATGGCATACGAGCATCAAGAACAATGACGAAATAGAAAAAAAAACATTTCATTTTCTCTGAGATACTCCTACTAACTAGGAAGGTCATCAGGTCGGTCCGGCCATTAGCAGTGAGCTGTATACCGTTGCACTCGCCTCGAGACGCTGAGCTCAAAACTGCCTTCACTATCTGCTAAACGGTTCTCTGAACGGAGTTATAAAGCAAGAAAGCGCAGCGGTAGTGCCCCGGTCTCGCAGGCAAGAGGTGGTGGGAACGGTTTTTCGAGAAGCCTGCTTTTTTGTTTTCAATGTCAATGTGGCAGAAAAGCTTCTAAATTCGTTAATTTATCAACACTTGCCATTAGTTGCCTGTATGAAGAGTTTGCGAGCAGTTCCCACAACCTCTTGCCTGCGAGACAGGGCACTACCGCTGCGCTTCCTTGCTTTATAACTCCGTTCAAAAAATCGTTTAGCAGATCGGGAAGACAGTTTTGAGCTCAGCGTCTCGAGGCGAGTGCAGGTATAGAGCTCATTACAAATGGCCGGACCGACCTGATGACCTTCCCTCGTGAGTCCACAATGACTAGACGTCCTGCCGTGACAAACAGAGCTTACCTATCCAACTTCTTCGGAGAGCTCTCAGAAGAAACCGAGAACGAACGGCTTTTCCTACGCCGCGAACCGGAGGGAATTTGAATGAGTGAAGTTCCTTCAGCAAGATCACTGGATGCACATCCCCTGAAATTAAAGACATGGTACTGGTGAAAATATTAAAGCTGCAACAAACATTACATAAAAACTTCGGGAGAATAGCTAATTATATAGCGGAAGTCGAAAACCCAAATTCAAAGAAGAAAGGCAAAAGCAAACCTATCACATCATAAAAAAACAAGACTGGAGAGTTGGAAAGAAAGTTTTGAAACAACCCACAGCCCAACCTTGAAATTTATTTTTATTCTTCATTTGCTCTGTGATCCTTGACCATCAGAGTCAACAATAAAACAGGACTCTTCGGAGAATCGATAGATACCAGATTTGCAGTAATTAAAGGAGGTAAAGGAATTTATTGTCGAAAAAAATTGGAAGTCGTAGCGCCAGCCTAGTTCGAGAATTTTCCGGCGCCAGTGTTCGTTGTTGGGCGACGACATATAAACGAGCACAGTGCACCCGGTGAAATGGTGCGGTACTCACTGACCACATTTCC